TGTTTGAAGTAATAGTGCCTGAGTAATCCAGTAAAGCTCAGCTGTAAACCTTGGAAATTACCAAAGAGTTTTTTAGCTGACTGCTGGACGCTATTGCGATTGATGAGGGCCACGCGGCGGCGCGATGATGATGTCTAAGCGCAGCTCCTGACAGCGCGATAAAGACGCACCCGGGCTGGGTTTGCGTCGCAATGGACGAGTTGTCCTGTTTGGCCCTCTGAATATGAGTGTCACTGAGACGGGATAGTTCAGTTCCGCCCCTTATGGGGAATATTCTTCGCTTCAGTTCAAATGAGTTTCGCTGCTCCAGTCAATAAGCTTGCGCAGATTTAGATGTTGCCGTGCATGGTCGCGCGGTACGCCGCGCGCCTAGGGCACAAATTGCCATGGTCATGTCCGTCTCTTGGCGCAGGTGCTGTGCAACTTATTTATCTCATTCCTGCGCAGGGAAGCAATGAGTCTCCTTTGAACCAACGACAGCATTAATTCCAATTGACACATCGCTCCAGATGGCTGAAGCATGATATTTATTGTCAATAGCACTACAATGAGGGGCGCACGTCGCGACCACCCCCACCACATACACACACAAGAGTCCCAGTTCGTGTGGAGCGGTACGTGCATTTAAAAATTGACGAGGAGAGGCAGTGCATCAGATCCGAGTTTTCTTGTTCGCTGAGGACGAGTTGCTGATGGTTCCACGCGCGCTGCATTCGGATCGTGCGCCGTATGCTACACAGTTGCTATCTTCGAAATCAGTCAGGATTGAGGAGGGACTACTGACCTCTCCTGCGGCCTTGCCACTACTGGTTGTTTCCTCTCTGAATCAATTACTAGCCGATCACAACTGGTACAGGTAGTTGGAAGCGGGCTCATCCCGTCCTCGTCATACCGCTTCTGACTGATTGCAATGTTAACACAACCCTTGAAGGGGAAGATATTCCAGTACACTTCCGCTCCCTATCGTTCTCTGTCAATGCCCCTCGTCTCTCTGCTCCTGTCTCTCTGCATCTCTGCTCCCCGCCCCTCTCCCGGAATCAGCATGTAGCGGGAAGAGGAAGGGATATCGATTATACTCTGCTCTGCACCATATTCGCTCAGGGGCCGTATGCTATACATCCCTCGGAGGGGACATTTCCCCCAAATCTCCACCCTCTGCTGTTATCTCTATCAGTTTCCCCTCGTCTCTCTACTGCTGCCTCTCTGCATCCATGTCTACCCACTCTCGCGGAAGAGAGGGGAGCATATCGATTATACTCTGCGCTGCACTATATTCGCACAGAGCATGTGCCAAAAGAGTATGGATGCAGAGCGGTGAGAGCCAGTGAGACGAGGGGCATTAGTAAGATAACGCAGAGATTGGAGGTTTGCCAGGGGATATCTCTCCGAGGTAGAAAGTATAGCATAGGGCCCAAGATGCTCAGTATCAATCAGTCGTCTGCAGCGTGGCAGGTCGACTTTACAGTAAATAATCAGCTACCTTGCACAGTATGTGGACCTTTTGATTGGTCCTGGTAGCGGATGCCTGTAGCGATACGTACATGGACAGCGGCTGCTGAGCACATGAACATGCAGAAATGGCGACACCATTGAATGGGGTTTCTGGGCCCGGGATGGGTATTACTTTTCATGCTTGAAAAATTGGATGTGTGAGGTCATAACGGCCCCAGAATACGATGTAGGCGAGAGAGCGCAGACAAGGGCAGAAAATTGGCGCGATCAAAAGGAATGTGTTCAAGTTGTTTGTAGAACCCGCATTTCGGATCTCTTGAGTTACACTCAGTCAGGGAGCAGCTCCTAGTAGAGAAAGAATTAGTAGAATTTTTGAAAAATTAGCTCTATACCATTTTTTTACATTAGGAAGAGCAGGTCCTGTTCCGTATTCATCTTTCATCTATGGAAAATTTCGTTGAGTCCAAAAGTTTTCTGTGAACATAGCTGCTATAAAAGTTCTGTAATCTCACAAAGAGGGGACGAAGAACAAAGGGAAGACTTAGCATTTTTACTCTATTGTACACTTCTTATCCTGAGACTGAGTAGGGTGGCACAGTAACATGGCATAGGATGTGTTACTCGTGTAATATTTCAATTTGAGAGAACTGTCATCTTGTTCTCCTTTGATCAAAGGCATAATTACAATTGTCCCCAATGAAAATGCCTCACCTCCGACACGTTCTCTTCGAGTACGTAGCCACGCCTACCCCATCTCAGGGATTTTGAGTGTAGAAGTGAACGATGTTGTTCAGGTAATAAAGGCGAGTGCAAAATGGGCAGAAGAGAACAAGAACAAAACCGGAGAACCATTCAAACCGTTGAGTAATCTGAAAAGGTATGCAGGTGTCTCACCATTGGTAACCACTGCTATTAAAACTGTTCAGACCTAGAGGCGACTCCGTGAAGAATCCCTCCCGTGGAAAAGATATCTCAAAAACGAAAAACCCGGCTGCAAATGAATATGCGTTTTTCAGTAATACTCCCAGGGTACAGGAGCCCATGTATGACGGCTGGAATATGGTTAGTCTTGTTTCTGTCTTCAGAATAAGCAAGATACCGACTGAAAAAAATGGGTACCTTCCGCTCTTCAGAGATCACTCAAAAGCAATAGAAGATAACCCCGCGGAAAAAAATACAACTGAGCCAGCCACGAGGATGATTATCGTAGCCCTCTTATGTTTTCAAGGGCTTACCGCTTCAGCTCCCTGCCCGTCCTTTCTCTGAAGGCTAGGTCGCAGAGCAAAGAAGTGCAGGTCCCCGAATGTTGGAACATGGTAACCCGGGGAATAGACTATACAGCAGCAGGGGGCTGCAGGGTGGTTTATCTGTGAAATGAATGTGAACCTAAGTGCGAGACCATAATAGTCAAAGCGGGGTATGTTATAAGACAATCGTGATATGTTGCGCAGCTGGGCGTGGCGAACGAGCTACCAGCGGACGAGTTGTCCTGCCTGGCCATTCGGACTTTATGCTCAAAGGAAGGAATCATGAAGCCGTACGAGTATCACTGCTCTGACTGACAAATAATGCGCAAAATGATGAGCTCAGACCACGACTGAAACTCGTTCCGCTGATATTTCCCGTCATCCCATGTATACTATTTTAATTCGAATCGGATGTTTTTTCACACCGAATAAGACACTTCTGAGCATACCAGTCGCACTTTAAACCAAATTGGACCCATCACACCGCACAGTTGATTTACCATTCACACTAGATACTGCTGCTAGCGCCTTCCCGACAGCCACGCCCACTTTTTAGTGCGGTCGGATTTTTCGAAATTTCGTTTCATAAGTTCCGCTTCTGCTCTGACCCCCTAAATGAGTCTCTGGTCTTCTGACTCAAAACATATTCTGAAGTGGGCGGGCTTTGGCAAGGTGGGCCGAGCTTTTCATAGACAGCGGATCTTTTGCAGCCCAAAAAAGCGAAGACTCTGTAACTCGTAGAGCGTTTGTTCCATTATTACGCTCAATCCATCGCAAATGGCGAATTTAACCTAGTACGAGAAAATAGCTGATAGTCCAACTCGTTCGGACGCCCTCTTTTCGTCTTGTGTTCGTAGAGGCTCGCATTGGCTGCAAGTTCTATCTATGGAATTACGGAGCAAATTTTACCCCTTCCTTTCTATTCACTGCTATGTTGGCTGCTGTCTTTTCATTAGTATTCCGTCCTCGGTGCCCACCATAGCAGTGGGCACGAATTCTGGAGGCGGGCGATAGTTGCCAGTGTCATTGGTGGAGGGGTGAGTGTGGCCAAAGGCTTCTTCGCTGCCCTTCCGCTAGTAACGCTGGCAGCAACCACCCGTCCCCGACAGTCGTGTCCAGTGCCTCAAACTAGTCAGAGTTTCAGTCAGTCGGCGAGAGTGCAAAATATGCGAAGTCAGAAGGAAACAAAAAAGGAAATGACACTCCAGTAAATAACTCGAAAAGGTATGCAGCTCTGCGGCGTTCAAGTATCATTGCGCGTTTACAATTTTTTTTCAGACATAATACCAATCTGGAATTTCTCTGCGACATTTCTTTGAAGGTAGCAGAGGCAGACATGACAACGATGGGATTGTCGTCTACCAATGACAAACGCACAGTACAACCACCTTCTGGTAATAAGCAGAACAAGGTTAATCTCCACTCATTCCCCGAATTGATTCCTCTGGTAAGAAAGGGGTCGAAGAAGGAGCTTCTGATCGTGACTCGTGAAGGGTTGCTTAGATAGCAATAGAAGGGATAACAATGAAGGGGGCAAGAAGCAAGTCACCCACGTATGCATTATCGTAATCTTCTGTTGTTTTCTTAGGGTCTCCTGACTATTATATCCTCCTTCCATCCTTTCTTGGAGGAGGGCGCAGACAGGTAAGGGAGAGCAAATGACGGATGTTGAAGTGTGTGAGGGGTTATACGGTGACCCACGGACGTCGCAGTAGCAGTGTCTCCAGGATGAGTGGACCGATAATGTGCGAGGCCATAATAGTCAAGAGAGGGGGTGCGACAAGACAATCGTAATATGCGGCATTGCTGGGCGTGGCGAGCGACGCCGCGCACGACAGAGGAGTATCCTCCCTGGGCGTTTGAACTCAAGTGTTGAGGGTACGAGAAAATTCTGGTGTCTTGTCTCTGCTCTATTTAGTACGGGTTTCGCTGCTCCAATCGGCCAACTGCTACATTTCAAGGATCTGCCCGTCGCACCAGACAAATTACGATCACGTCTGGTCCGTCTTCTATTAAAAGGCATTGATCAGGCGAGAGGGTGCAGACGTAGGCAGGAAATCGATAGGTCAGGATGTAGTGTATAGAATTCATGTGGAATTAGTTGGTGGATCTTAGGGTGTCTATAATTTGCAGTTCATACATGAATGTGCCCCTTCTCCAGTCCCGCACATGATCGGTTTCTTTCATGAAAGCGTGGAACGCACTAACTGAAATGGTTATCATTCATCGATTTTGATTGTGATTTTTTGAAGTTTCCGAGATTACAGGTGGGTTCTTCTCAACGCTGCGAAAGTTCTCGGAATGTTGCCGCTATGCAGGAGGTGAGTGCAGATAGCAGTATCGATGATAGTGATCCTCAAGATCTTCAACTAGTAATGATTCTTGCGAGGTAGGAAGTAGCTTTGCTATATATCCTCATTTTGTATGGGTGACATTCACCATGTGGAAAACTCGTCCAGACATAACTCCTTCGTCGATATAGCGACGAAGTGCAAAACCTACAATTATATAGCGATGAACTAAAGAAGTTACTCATCATAAGTGAAGAGGAACAAAAGAGAAAGAACTAATATTTGACCATACCGGTCAATCCGTGCAGAAGGCTGATTAAATATGAATTCTAGATGTCGGGAGAGGGCACGAATTGCGCAGAAGCAAGCAAGGAAAACATCGAAGTCAGATTCATCCCGTGGAACAACTCGCGGAGGTGCTCAAATCTACGGTGCTCAAGAGCCACTTTCCACAATAAATAATTTTCAGACCTAATGACCACGTCAGCGGAAATCCCTCAACAAGTAATGCGGTCTTGAAAGTGCAAAATACGTCTGCCAAGGTAATGTCCACTATCATCAATAGCTCTGAAGCAGGTTTTATCACTAGTGTGGGCAGCTTCCTAGGTGGGTGGGGCTTCTTTTTGACTGGGCGTGTTTGTTCTTTTATTTCTCCCACCCACATCAGGCGCGCACACACTCCACCTCACTGAAGGTGACGTGGCTATAAGACAGTTTTACTATGTTGTCAGTGAGTCAGAGGTGGTCACCCTTCCCCCCCCCCCTCCTATCTTCACAAGATGAGAAACTTTTTAAAGAGTTTGTGGATGTGGTGTTGAAGGAAAGCCCCATGATTTGTCCTTTTGACGGATTGGCTTTGATAAAGACTTAGAAAGGTTCAATCATCGCTCTTCTCGAAGCAGAAACAGGCGAAGTAAGGATCTGTCGAGTTGGCCTCCCCGTAGTAATGAGGAAAAAGCGGGTTAAAGCCTCAGTGGATTGCTGTTTTGGCTGAGATTTTTTGTCTTGACAATCGATAGAGAACACGAGGGAGCAATATGGTTCACTTGATCTGTGTTGCTGGGAAGTAGGTCTTTTTCTTACAGAAGGAGCCCTATTTTGATCTTTTTGGAGGACGGCCCTGAAGTGACTGGGTAATAGTGACAACCAGGTGCCGTTGACTCCACCTTCGCCATCCTGAATGCGCAGCACTTGCCTCGGCGGTACCAGAATCTCGCAGCGAACACGCAGTGGTAGAGAATAAATAGGAGTGAGAGGAGGCAGATAAGCAGCACATTCGCCTACTGTCAGGCGTACGGGTGGCCGGGCGGCAGTGCGGGCGGAGTATGGAACCACACCCAGGTATCAATACCCTCCAGTCTCGTTTCCGAGCAGATTAGCGGCGAATGTGTCACGCTATTGAAGCTGCGGGCCCATTTCCGCGGGCTTCGTGAGAACTACGATTCTTTCGTGAGAATGTGCAATTCGTGTTCGCGTTTGGCTGCGTGTAAAGCTGTACAATTTTTGTGCTCTATGTGCTGTGGGGAGGTGGTGTAGTGGTGCGCTTACCACCCGAGCAGTCTCAGCTTAAACCCCGAGTTGAATTCCGCCTAGGCCAACCAAGCCTCCTACCCTCCGGGAACGGCAAATGGTACCAGATTCGTCTGGGAGGATAAGAGTATTGATTGTACATCGGCTGGCCTCCACAAGTGATTGTATCGCGTCGTGTATCCAAATCGCGTTTAAAAGCCACTACGATTCTGAATGGTAGTGGAATGCGTGTCGCATCCCCAAAGGGATTGTCCAACAGCAGAGATTATGTATATCCTAAGCTTCGTTGCTTTCGAGAGTTCCAATCTGGTCTGTGGTATGTCCCAAACACACCCTACGCGTAAAGTGGATCTTCATTCGGGTATCTTTATCTCAGCTAAAATAGTCAATTGCAGGATGTCGCTGCTGGAACTGTCCCATCAAAATGGTTGGCGTTAGCTCCAAGCAACTCATTTTTCAAAGTTCTCACCATACTATTTTCTCTACAAAGAAAAGTAAGTACATTCTACAGTGATCAAACGCGGTAATAAATACATTCCGACCATACACAAGATGATTGCTCTTTCATCTTTTTCAAACGAATATCGCTCAGTTTTGGCTATCGTTCGATTTTTGCAACGCCTGTAATGTTTGTGGGTTAGGATTGTCCTAGATTGCGTTCTTACTTTGCGACTTGTGCATCAATCGCACTCTGAGATTGGTGTGTTCACGACAGACCGCGCCCAGTCACTGGGCCTCTGCAGCTGGTGGTCCAGTCACACTTGATATAGAAGTTGTTCAAACTGTTGCAGCGGTCCAACTTTCAATAGTAGGTTGCCTTTCCCGAATCGCGTAAGAGAATCGTTCAAGTCGCAAAGTGAGGAGATCGTCCTATTGCTATCTGAACTCTTTGGCATCTATAGAATGCTAATCTTTTCGGTGAAGTCACTTGGGCGAGTGCATCTTTCCCGCTAATGTAGTACACCTACAGATTAAAAAGGAAAGAATTGTACCAATCGAAAATTTTCAAGTGTCCCAGTAACTCCGCCCATGTGATCATCGCGGAACGTTCCTTTGACCCTTTATCTGCCTCTTCTTGGGAATTGCCATTGTATCTGCCCATGCTGGGTTAGCTGGTATTTTACCAGTTTTGTTTTCGTTGAGAAATCAGTGTTATATAGGTGAATACCTTTTTTTTCTGAGTTCTCATGCTTCCATTGTTTCTATTTTCATGTAAATGTTCCTATTTTCCTGTGAATTAAGCTCTGCTTATTATGCTGTTGTTCAATGAGTTTTTGTATAAACATTTGTTGTTTCTTTACTTGTTTTGCGACTTGATATCGAGCTGTTTGTGGCGGTCGATATATTGCTTCATTCTCAAGAACAAGCAGTTCTTCATCTGTGCACGGCTCTTGAAGCCACGCCTGTGATTGGTGGGTTTTCCACCCACCAATCGTACCCTTGGCGCTTTTCCGCGCGCCGACAACCTTTGACACGGGTATTCGGCCATATCAGTCTCTTGTTAGCACGTATATGTACCGTCCAAATGAAGAGCTCGATTGTAAACAAAACAAATTACGAGCCGATCGATAGTCGTGCCGGTCATAGTGTCTGTAGCACTGACAGTATTAGTCCATTAGTCTTCACCGGCTTCCTTATACCGCTCGCTGAAAGCTTTGTGATGCAGTTCACTTGTGGACGGTTTCAATCTAACTTTTCAATGAAATATTCGTTGAAATCCCCAGACTCCTTCAGTAGAAACCAGTGAGCAGTTTGCACGGGTCTGTCCGCGTTTGTAAGCCGCACTGATCTTCCTTATGATGAATAGCTGATGAATTAGAGCAGGAGGGGGGGAGGGGTCGTACTCACACCGCCATTTGGCACATCCCCATGCTGTACCTTGACTGGCGTACGGCTAGAGACAGACGGCGGAGGTTACAGATCAACTCACGGGTCGTACCGGCTACGATTAACTATCCGATCGACTGTCAATAAAGCTGCTCATTACTCTCTGTATTTTGTCCACCGCAACACATTTACCAGGCTACTTGAAAGTACACCGAGAGGGTTCTGGATGAGCTGCTCGTGGTTAAATACCGTGAGGCCTTACACGTTACCGCTGATGTGTCATTACATACAGTTGATATCGTCGCAATCAGTCGGGGCGGTTTCAAGAAAGATGGGATATACCCACCTGCAAAGTTTCCTTACAGGTTGTTGTCTTCCTAAATCGACCGCTAAGCGATCTTTATTGGCGAAGCCCACCAAAGGCGAGCTCGCTCGCCCCTCCTGACACCTCCCTGTCTCATTGCGTCGTTATCAACTATACAAGCACCTTCCAGGTAGAACAACTTGTTCAGATCTTTGAATTAGTAGACCGCCTCGATTGTTCATCGCAAGATATCATTATTGAGAAGCAGGAGCACCGGTAGCGAACCTCAGCTGCTTCCTATAGATGGATAATTGCAAAACTCGAGTGGTCCAGTGATCTGGACGAGTTGTCCGGCATGGAGATTTTTAGTATGACACGTTACTGGCGATGTAATCGCGCCATACGACCGTCACCCGTTTACTTGGAATTGACAGAGATTTTAGTCTACTTTTCAAATTCAGTGTTCGTTTATTACCTTAGATCTCCAATTTGCTCAGCTATTGTGGAGGTATTACAACTCAGAAACCCGAATGTCAGAGGTATTCTAGAGTTAGGGTTTAATACGAGAAATAGTTAATTTTGCTATGAACCCATTTTATCCTGTCCTGGAAATTTCACTGAGTGGAAATTCGTCTGCAATTTTCACCGGTGTAACGTGGAAAAGGTTACATATGAACCGTAATGAATGAAAATTCGTTGAGCGTAAAGGTTGTAGATCATCATTCCCAAGTTGCAGCGAAAAGGCGTTCATATCTGGGCTACGTGTGCGACATTCGCACGAGGACCCAGTCGATTCGACGTGGCATTGCTGCGTTGTTTCAAGTCAACTAGCTAGCAAACACTCTGTAAGTAAGTGAGGGTGTGGAGCATTACTCCCAAGACGCGGGGTTAGTTCCGTTCGCAAGCTGGGGAACTACGCAGCGTTCGCGCCGGGACCCATTCCGCTCAACGTAGCAGGTTGTGGCGTGTCGCCTCTAAACGCTTTCTGCGTCCCAAAACAAGTAGCTTTCTCTGTGCTTGTGTCTGTCCAGCCAGCTAGCTAGGAAATACTCGGTGCGCGTAGTGCCATGCCTCGCAGGAAACGCTCGCCCCCGCTGGAGCGCGATGCCGTGACCGGACTAATGCCGTATGCTCATCAGTGATTGATGGTTAATGATTTATCATCCGTTACTAATGGGAATAAGAAGCAGGGGAGTGAATGAGGGACTCTATGGTATCCCGTAGATCGAACATACGTTTAGCCTGAAGGTATGAGGCACGCGATAATTTGGTACTCGGTCTAGGTAGCGAGGTGATGCAAAGGGAAAATGGCGAAAAACGAAGTGAAAACGTCAAAAACCTGCAGAAAAAGCCTTTGTTAAACACGACCCGGGAAGCAATTTGAAACGAGTATTCCGCTGGCATTGTGCCAATAACTGTTACGGTAGATACGGCTGCATGAATGTATTCACGTATCCATTCAGCACCACGTTTGCTTCATATCAGTCCCTTCGCTTCATAGTAAACTTCGCAAATGAAGGGAGGCGAGCATCGGTCGGACCTTTGTGGGCAGATGGGTGCGGGGCGTCCGAGTCGGTATATTGCGGCTTGACGGGGCGTTATGGAAAGGTATCTTCCTTTTAAAAGGCGCCACACGGCGCCTGCTCAGGGGCGCCGAATCCTGTCCTGGGCGTATTAATCCTACACATCTTGGGCATTAATGGTGCTATGTGCCTTTGAGCCAGTGGAACTGCTCTGGAGATTAGTAAATTACACTTCAGATACCGAAAATACGAAAATTTTTTGAGAGGAATAAGTTACACCCTGAATGGAGGTCTACTCAACTGAATAACCAGGAAAAGTATGCAGAACTACAGTGACAGTTTGGAATCGCTGTGAATACAAACCTTTCCAGGCCTTGTACCATGGATGACCCTCGCAAAACGGAATTGCCATTCAACCAGGGAAATGCCTCAGCGCAGGTAGTTCAGGATATCAGCGATAAACTCGGAGAAGAACCAAAGTTGGGTGAAGATAGAGAGGTAGTTAGTACCATTTCGTCTACCTTCTAGATGTTGACTGGAAAATTCTGGGACACTGTGATTGCGGAGAAGGGAGCAACAGCCAACCTTCCGACGTTTTAAGTGGGAGTCGCAAATGGGTCCCAGCACGATTATGCTCGGCGAGCAACGCCATTTGCGCGCCCGGCGTGGCTGCGTTTCATGACTCGTCCTACGCTGGGGATTCATTGTGAGAACGTTGCAATTAGTCTATGGGAGGGTTTGTATTTGACCTATGATAAAACAGTTTTGATTGCTATTTTTCATGTCCCACGTTCTGTTACATATATTAAGGGGGTCTATTTAGCAGAAATACTCCCGACGTTAGGACGTGTTTTTTTGTGCTTATTTTCAATTTGCTTATATTTTCTTGATTACAGGAAGACTTTGCACATTGTAAAGTTATGGAGGCAACAATACCAAAGGTTGGTCTAGATAGTTGTAAGTAAGTTTAAAGTAATTAACCGGGCCCAAGTGGAATGCAATGGCCCGTTTTTAAAGTACTGTGAATGCATCAGTTTATTACTGTGTAACATTGCGAATTCTTGCAAAGCTATGAAATCTTGTACGGATTTCATTTTTGCGTCATATCTTTGATTTTTTTTTAGTTTGACAGCAGTCAGTACTGAATGGTCCGATGAAGCAATCGTGAGCCACGAGGAAGTAGTTCATCGTACAAACATGATCCCTGCAGCGATAGGGCGTGTGATGCGCCGTGGATTGGAGCGCCAGGGCAGCATTTTTGCAGCAATCATGTCACCCTGAGTGCCCGACGATTGGTGAGAAAGGCTGTTCTGGCTGCCCGTCAGTCACGTCCCTTCATACATACGCCTTATCGTTGGCAGGGATTATTATTATATATGCGTTTTTCGTAGCCCTCAAAACATGCCCTCACAGCTATTTCGTGTGATTAATGGCTACAGTTTAAATGACTTTGATTGTAGGTGGATTCGTCACGTGAGGCTGCTATAGAAGCTACAGTTATGAAGGTCAGTAAAACTATGAGGACTGTTTTCGAAGTACAACTAGTGACTGAGTGATTTAATAGAACTCATACGTAAGGCTCGAGAATTACCAAACGAGTTTTTGTAGCTGTTTCTTGGACGCTACTGTAGTTTATGAGTGCAGCGGCGCGATGAAGTGCGTGGCAATCAATCGTCCAAGCACCGTTCTGACAGCGCGATAATAGACGCAGCTGGGTATGTGCCGCAACAGACGAGTTATCCTGCTTGACCCTTTTGAATATGTGCGTCATAGGGAAGGGAGAATCGATACTGCCGCTCATCGTTTTTCCTTTAGATGAATTTGCTGTTCCAATCGATAAAGTGCTGCAGATGTTGCCGCACGTACGCAGCGCGGCTGCGACACAAATCGCCATGGTCATGTCCGTCTTTTGGCCCAGCGAGCTGTGTCGCAACTTATTTAATGATCCCGGTTCTGCCCAGCGGAGCAGCAAGCCTCCTCTGAACCCACGACAGCATCAATTTCAATTGACACATCGCTCCAGATGGTTGAAACACGATATTTACCGCTCGATAACAGCACGCAGAAGGGCGCGAAGTCGCGACCACGCCCATCACCGCTCCCATCGGACCGCTGTCTTGCACGCACACACGGCACGCATGCATACACAACAGTGCATCAGATCCAAGTTTTCTTTTTAGTTGCTGAGGAAGAGTTGGTTCCACGCGCGCTGCATTCGGATTGGGCGCCGTATGCCACACAGTTGGTATCATCGCAATCAGTCGGGCCGAGTTGCAGAGGGATGACTGATCCAACCATCGATCACTAGCCGATCACCATTGGCGCGCTCATCCCGCGCTCGTCACACCGCCTCTTGTTGCAATCAATACATCCCTTGAAGGGGAAGATATCCCAGTACACTTCTGCTCTCTGCCATTATCTCTGTGCATGTCCCTCGTGTCCCGTTTCTGTCTCTGCTCCCGGATGTAAAGTCCTCATCATTGCGGACCGGTGGGGCGTGTCAGCCAGTATGAGTGTGCACACTGTTGAAGCCGTTCTCAGCCTTTTTGTTGAAACGCGTATGCGACAAAAAGTGGTAGAAAACGAGTAATACGAAGGATATAATACAGTAATGTCACTTGCCCGCTTCAACAACTGGTGCAGAACGACTTTGGCACCGCGCCAAACGCAGCCGCACTGACACGCCCCACCGGTCCGCAATGATGAGGACTGTATGTTGTTTGGCGCGATCTTTTTGCCGCCAACGTATAAACACAGACGAACCGCCTTCCAGGAAGGGCAAATCGTCTAGCTTCAGACCCGTAACTTTTCTTATCTGAATATTATTGTTAGGAGAACACCTGGTTCAGAAGCATGAACACTGAGACCAATACGCACAGCTCCAGTGTTCATGTAGGCTGTCAAGAACTAAACCCCATAATTTACTGATCTGGAAAAGATATGCAACTTGTAGATCTGACATGGCGTGTCAACGGCAATTGATCGCGCCAAACGTCCGCCTCGCTCTGCTCCCCCAACCCTCTCCCGCAATCAAACATGTAGCGGGGAGAGGGGAGATATCGATTATACTCTGCTCTGCACCGTACTCGTTCAGAGCCAGAAGGGCATGGATGCAGAGCGAAAAGAGCCAGAGAAGCGAGAGACATCAGCAGGGACAGAGAGTGGAGGTTTGCCAAGGGATATCTCTCTGAAGTAGAAAGTATAGCATAGAGCCCAGCAATTGTATAAATCTGACAGTACTGCAGCGTGGTAGGTCGAATTTACAGTAGATAGTCAGCTGCTTTGCACGGAACACTGCACGGCCATGTGAGTATCTGGACCTTTTGTTCGGTCCTGTAGCGGAAGCCTGCAGCGCAAGCTACATAGACAGCGGCTGCTGAACATCTGAAGATGCGAAAACGGTGAGAACCAATTAATGGGGTTTCTCAAGAAAAGTGGGCCCGAGATGGGTATTACTTATTATGCGTAAAAAGTTGGATGTGTGAGGTCATAGCGGCCTTAGAATACAATGCAAGCGAGAGAGCGCAGACAAGGGCAGAAAACTGGCGCGATAAAAGGGGACGAGTTCAAGTTGCTTGTAGAACTCGCACCTCGGGTGTCTCGAATTGCACTCAGTCCACGGTACAGCCGCCTAGTAGAGGAAAGGGCAGGATTTTCGGAAAATTAGCTTCATTCACTATTTAAAACTCTGTTGTGAAAGTATAGCAGATGTGAAAGTCCTGTAGTCTCACCCAAAGAAGGGAACGAAGAACAAGGGGGGGGGGGACTCAGCATTTTTACTCTTTTGTACACTCCTTATCCTGAGATGTTCACGTGCCACGCCGGAGTAGGCGTGGCACGTGAACATGGCATAGGATGGGTTACTCGTGCAATATTTCAAGTTTGAGACAACTGTCATCTTGTTCTGTTTTGGACAACCATATACTTACAATTGTCCCCAAATGAAAATACCTCACGGGCTCAGCTGCTGACACGTTCAGTTCAAGCAAGCAGACCCGCCTACCCCATCTCAGGGATTGTGTAGAATTGAACTATGTTGTTCAGGTAATAAAGGCGAGTGCAAAATGGGCAGAAGAGAACAAGAACAAAACCGGAGTGAAGTCCACACCATTGAGTGACTTGAAAAGGTATGCAAGTGTACCGTAAATGATGGCCAATGCGGTTGAAATTTTTCAGACCTAGAGGCAACTCTGTAAAGAATCATTCCCGTGGAAAAAAAGGCTCAAAAAAGAGGAACACGGCTGCAAATAAACAGGCGTTTTCCAGCAATATTCCCAGGGTACAGGAGCCCGTTTATGGCAAACGGGGTATGGTGAGTCTGGTTTTTTTAGAGTAGGAAAGGTATTGATTGCAGAAAAAAAGCTGCTCTTTGCTTTTTAGAGATCATTCAAAAGCATTAGAAGTGATATCTCCGAGAAATAGAATACAACTGAGCCAGCCATGCCGATGATTATCATAGCCATCCTATGTTTCCATGGGTTTACTAGACCGCTTTAGCTCCCTGCCAGTGCCTTCTCTAAGGGCTAAGTCGCAGAAAGGCAAAGAAGAGCAGATTCCCGAATACTGGAAGGTGCTACGGGTCATATGGTAAACTAAAGTAGACGTTTCAATAGCAGGTTCTTGGTCGGTGTACCTGTCAATGCGCGTAAACTATAGTGCGAGGTCAGAATATTCAAAACGGAGTATCTGGTAAGAGAATCGTAATAATATGTTGCGTTGCTCGGCGTGGCGAACGACGCCGCGCTCTACGGACGAGTTGTCTTGCCCGCCCTTTCGAATCTGATGCTTAACGGAAGGGAAGCTTTGATATCGCCCTTCATGGAGTCGTACGACTTTCGTTGCTCTGATCGTCAAAGTGCTACACGTCAAGAATTTGCCTTGCGTCGTCGCCTAACACGCCGCGCGTAACGACGCAGCAAATCATAATTGTCTTGCCTATTTCCCGTGAAAAGGCACCAACCAAGAGAGCGCATGCAGTAAATCGATATGGTTCAAAGGACCGAGTACAAGTAGATTTTGTAGTTTTTTTGTGGAATTAGTGGTTGATCCCAGCGTGGTTGTTATTGGCTGGTATTCAAAAAGCTAGGTGCACTAAATGTTCTGTTCCTCGCTGTTATCAACAGGTGTAGCTTCCCATCCTGATGTGATTAGCACTGATGATTTTCCACTTCCGCAGTTGCAGTGGTATTCTCCTCTTCAATATTGCGCCATCGCCTCAGCATTCACAACGAACAAGACTGAATTCAGACACAGGTGCAGCCTCTGTGAAACCTCTTTGAACATTTATCCTGCTATTACCGGCAGCCTTCCATTCTGTTCCTGCTTCACGTTCCTTGAAATACTAAAGACGGCGAAGTAGTAGATCCCACACACTATCAATCTGTCAAAATAGATGAAAAGTGTAAAAAAAACTACTGTCACATCTATATATTGCGTAAAATGTGTTTATTGTGAATGTGGTATTGTGTCGCGACAAAAAGGGGCGGAGTTATCCGGGGGCGGGGCATGTAATGTAATTGTGTGTGTAGAAAATATGTGTGAAGGGCTCTTCTCGCAAAAATGGCAAATAAAAGCCTCTTCGAGGGAAAATTATAAGCCATTATAGGTACCGATGGTCTCCTCGATGACAGTTGAGCAGTAAGTATAGTGGCAGCAATCATTCACCCTCTTATTCGAAGTTGGTATAAATTCTTGAACTTGGCTAGAGGGTGCTCCCATAGGTGATTTGAGCTTCTGAACACGGATAATTTTGGCAATTCTTTGCGCCAAAACCTTTGTGGAGTGCGCACGTCAAAATGCTCAAAACAGGGCACAGCATTCGATGAGGATTTTGGTCGAGCTTTTTACGACCCCCCCCCCCTTGTTCAGGGGCTGGTGACGAACACCCCTCCCCTCTCCCCCCCCATGCTCGTACGAAGTCACGTCGGCATCGCTTAACGACCACCCCCCCCCCTCCAAGAACGTCGCCAAAAGCCTGAGAAAAGATCAACTACACTAAAAATCGAAATTTTGTCCCTATCCCAAATACGACCCCCCCCCATCAGGGAACCCCCATCAACGCTGGTGCCCTGGCTCAAAAATGCTTAGTGTAACGGGAAGGCGCATCCAAAAAGGCCTCTGAAAACAGGGCCACAGCATTCGATTGAGGTTTTGCGTCGGTCTGTTTACAACCCACCTTGCGTCAGGGCCTGGTGACCCCTCCCCTGCCCCCCCATGGCGCGGACGTGTACGTCGCATTGCTTATACGAACACCCCCCCTCAAAACGGTCGCAAGTGCAGAATCAACTATAAAAATTCATTTTCCCAGCCAAATACCGACCCCCATAGGGAATCCCATCGAACGCTGTGCCTGGCTCAAAATCTTGTATCGGCGGAGCGATCAATTGCTGGCGATGCTCGCAAATTTGTTGGACGGCATTGTACCTCTTCAGGCACGACTCTTTTAGCAGGTTTTGACATTTTGTCAGGGACTTAAAAAATGTCTACAATGCAAAACTGTATTTTAATCACCGTCGGCCTCTATCTGTTGCCCATGGGTTTCAGTTGCTCCATGATG